TGATCATTAGAGTTTTGAATAAAAACAAGTTCATTAAAAAACATTATTTACATTATTTGTATTTCATCAAAATGTGATGTTATTGATAGGGGGTGAATACTTTTGCAAGGCACTGAATGTATTAGTTAACAATGCACTTTTTATATTAGTGTATAAAATTCAGTTTCATCATCAGCATTAAAATTTAGTGGTTGAAGTTTTAATATCAGTCTTCCTTCTGTTTTTTGACTGAACTTGCATAGGTGTTATATTTACACTAAAAAATTAGTAAAGTCGCAAGAAAAGCAATTTTTACTTTGTCGGTGTTAAGCCCTATATTAGAGTGCTTAATCTATAGGGTTTGTTTGACTAGATTATTTTTGTTAAATGTATTAATATATTAAAAATATATATAATATAGCACAAAGTATGCATCAGAAGATGAAAGTTCTAGCATTACATCTGGATCAGCAGGACAACTTTTAAGTAGTGGATTTGGTACTACTCCCCAACATCTTCATAGCAGTGAGGTCCCATTTTCTCCTCCTAATGTTGTTGATGTGGAACCCATGCTTCAGGAGTTGCAAGCACGGCGTGAAGAATGTCAGCATCTTGCAGATGAAATTGAAACTTTAAAGGTACTTTGTTGATTTGTGTACATTTCACTTGAAATATATATTTGAGAACATCTCATACTTTTTGATAGGTTATACAATCATTATTTTTTCACAAGTGATTTAGGGGGATGAAAGAATAAAAAACTAATGTGAACCATATGTAAGTACTTTGAAAACAATTAAATACAAAAGTTGCATTTAATTGCAATTAATCATTACTTTTTTTTGTGGTTTCTAAAAGTAATTTATGCAGTTAACTCTTTCTATACATACTTGGTTATTTGGACCCATTTTTTAACCATTAGGTAACCATGAAAATATCTATACTATAACTTTTAATGGAGCATGTGTATCTTCACAAAATTTGGCAAACTCTTAAGTAAACCTTACAAGTTTTTGTACACAAATTCAGATTTTTTGATTAAGTATTTTAACTAAGGATTTCTCCATGAATAAATAACAGTCAGAGTTTTGACTAATCTGAGTGCAAGGTTAAGATTAAAAATACTTTTATTTATTTCTCAATTTTTGTATTTCATTTGCATAACCTTTTAAAAAACTCTTAAACGAATATCAAGCATTTTTTCAGTCAAATTTTATATTTTGGTTATTATTTTCTTTACCCTAAATCTATACCACAAGGTTGATTTGACTGACCTCATAACCATCATTAAAAAAAACAGGAAATAAATCTAATTACCCTTTTTTTTTCTTTCTAGAATGACTGCAGATTATAACATAAAACTACAAGTCTATCCTAATTAGCTTAAGTCTACATCTGTTTCTACTTAATTTTATTGTTTTATTGCCCTTTGAACTGTGTCCAGCTAATAATCCTACAATACAAGCTGTAAATCACTTGGCATATATGTAGCTAAAGCTACCCAATTGAATGGTGTAAGGAACAAGCTGCTTGTTATTTTTCATGATATTACCTAATATAACCTAATACTTTTCTAATTTTTGCATTTTAGTTATTTTATAACAATAAATAAAAGATATACATAGGCAAAACTAAATTTAATACTTACATTTGGCCTCTTGTTTCTCTTCTGTAGTCCTGTTGATGAAATTTAAACCTACTTTTTTGTAGTGGTGGTACTAATACATCAAATAATTTTTATTTATTTAAAGAATGCACATAAGAACACAGAATAATAACATGTACAAAGCAAACACTGTCCTATAACTATTATAATTCAACTGACTTTCTGACAAAGGCATAAGTGTCATAAAATAATTTCCTTAACTCTTCTAACTGAACTCAGCTGGAGCAACTTTCAGTCTATAAACAAAATAACTAAAACTTTGTACTTAGAATACAGTAGCATTATACATTATTCAGTAAGTTGAAACATTGTTATTCTGGTGGTTATAAATGATGGAATAGAAAATGTCGGAGAGAATTATTGGCAATTTGTGAAGTAGAGGATGTAACAGGTTTGTGTGGTAAGTGGATTTTACATTCTAATTTATGTCTCCATAAACAAAAAAGATTGAATGCTATAAAAATTAGGCTTTGCCTTAGTAATACCTATACTATTCTCTCTTTTAGTTAACCTGAACTCCCGAGTCCCGTACGCATGAGAATTTGTCGGGATGCATAAGATTCAAACTTTATTCCCATGGGAAACACATCGACAAACTTAGCTGAAGTTTTAACAGCTTTTGTTGCACAGTTAGAAAACCAGAAAAATCGTGAAAGTTATGGAACATTGTTTCCCTTTTTCATGTTATTATTCTATGTTCTTTGATGCATTATTTAATCAAATAGAAAATTTTTAATGCAGTATTACAATTACTATAAAAAAAAAGTACGGTTAAGTTTCATTTACAGTCAAGACCAAAAAAAAAAACAAAAACAGGTAAGTACTTTATTTCTTGTTTTTCATGTGTATTCTTTATTTATTAATATAAAAGTAAGTAAAGTGTAAAAACTGAAAATATTTTAGGTTAGATCAAGTAAATTAGATAAAAATAATCATAATAATATTTTTTTATGAGTTACGTTCACGAGTAGTCTGTGCATTATACAATTTGATACCGTATTGTGAGCTGCACACTCACCACGTGATTTTAAATTTTCATGGTGCCAACAGTAGATTGATATGGTTCAAAGGGCAATGCAACATTAAAATTTAAATATAAATAGATGTGTACTGTTGCAAGCTTTAAGCTACTTAGGATAAACAATTTTGGTTTTCTGTTACGATTTGCAGTCATTCCAGAAAGGAAATAGGAGAAATTTATAATTATTTCGTAATTTTTTATGGTGGTTATGAGTACCTGTAAGCTGCTGCAGTTAGCTGTATTATGTAAAATCAAGCCCACAAATTTTTTTTTTCTGCTCATTGCAAAGTTCATTCATTTTTTAAAGCTGACTCACCGCTGTATTTTCTACCAGGATTTATAATATTAGGGCTATATAGTATAAATGTGTGTTTAATCTGTAATTCTGTGTAAGCTTAGGCCTATGTAAAAACACTAGAAACAGCATCATTATAACACACCCATCTCCCCCATACTGAATGGAATACTCTTAACACGGCATTGATAATGCTTCATTAGACCATCATTATTATTCTGTTCTAGGTTACCTAGGTCACATAATCACAATACAGATTTTTCAAAAGTGACATGTGAACTTGTTCTGTGAGATGCGTCAGTGTAGTGTCGCGCATGCATGCAGGCAGCAGGCATAATGGATGACAGTGTTAAGTCTGTTGATATTAAGGCCTATTTATTACTTGGAGACTACTATCAGTAGTATTCAGTGGACTAGGTATGGTGTATGGCTAGCATAAACCATAACAAGTATGTTAGCATAGATCAACTTTCACAAGAGGAAAGGTATGAAATACAAAATCTCTTTATCATTTTGGAGCAAACTGGGGGAAAGTCACAGAGAAACTGCAAATTCAAAGCTAGACCTTATTTTGGATATTTGTATACGAAGGCACGGACTGACAAGGCATCTGGGAGTTCATGTGGTGGTTCAACAAATGCAGTGGATCTACAAAATCCCATGCTTGTCGATGATCAAAAGTTGTATTGAAAGTAAGTCTATCTCATAATAATATATATATATATTAGACTATATATTCAGATCAGTGTCGATTCAGCGTAATTTACTCTGTATATATACTTAAATATAGGGCTATATATAAATGGGGCCTGTAGGCCTATAGATGCAAATTGTAGTATTTATCATGTGAAAGATCTTTGTAGTTGTAATCAAATCTCAATATCGTCCAAGATAATTTTGTTAGAGTGAAATAAATATAAATGTATGTGTGTGTATATAGTGTAATGTTTATTATTGTTTGAACAGTACAAACCACAAAGAATAAAAATATATTTAAGTTGAAATAATTTTTACACTTTATATTAATATGTAAGCTCTAAGCTGTTTTTAAATATTCTGGGCATAAGCTATTGTTGAACTTGACCTGTTTTGCAAGGTTGAATAGGCATATCTTGCCACAGTGGCATGCTTATTTTTAAATATGCAACAGGTGATACCTGTTTTTAATTTAATACATTTTGAAAATTAAACGCTAGTAGTCCTACATTTTGTTATCTAAACTTTGTATTTTTTTTTCAGACTGTGCCTCGAAGACTCAAAAAACAAATTATGCCAGCAGCAGAGGAGGATATATAAGCAGAATGTTGAAGTACAGCCTGCAGACATCAACAAATACAATATCTGGACATCTTGCTAATGTCCATGATCTGCATTTTCAGGAACCCACTTCAAGCTTGAACCAAAACAAGCTTACATGTGACACTACAAAGCCTACCTGGTCTGATTGTGAAATCAACAAAGACCATGTTGTATGGATAGCACTTGATCTGTTGCCTTTCATTATGATGGTCTTGATATTTCTTTGACAAGAACATGCCAAATATGAAAGTGCCAAGCCCTTCCAACGTTAAAAACAACAGCACTGATTGATGTTTATGAAGCTGTGAAATCAAAACTTGTCACTTACTTGGAAACTGTAAACACTATCTGCGTCATGTTTGATGGCCGGACAGATCGCTACAAAGCGCATCCCTACATTGGATAAAGAATTTCATACATAACTGAGGACTGGGTTAGCAGAACAGCTATAATATCTTGTAAAGTATTGCTTCAGGATACAAGTCAAGGTATTGCAGACCATATTCGTAGTGAACTTGCCAATTTTTTTCTTGGCTAAAAAGTTTAATTGTTTTCAACACATGATGGTACTCAAAATGTACAGAAGGCAAGTACTCTCCTAAGAGTTCAACAATTTCATCACTGTGTGGCACACACTTTGCATTTGTTACTGATGATGGATTCACTGAATCAAGTACAAGTCATTCAGGACATCCTACTTCACTGGAAGGAAATTGTGGACAATTTGCACTTTAAAGGATATATAATCCAGAAGGAATCAGAAAATACCAAGAACAGAGAAACTATGGATAAATTAATGGAGCAGCTTTCACATGCTCATAAGGAACAGACACTTGATGAACAATATCCAGCCCTAGATGGAGATTCAGATAATAGCATTGCCACTAAGGAAAGTGACACACAGGAATACAGAACTTCAACTCATAAAATTTTGAAAAACTCAGTTGTAACATGCTGGAACAGCTGTTATACTATGATCTGCAGTATCCTTGATCTCTTCACAGAAGCAAACGAAGCTTTGAAACACAGTGGCCACAGAGAACTTGTCATGATAGGAACTGACAAAGATTTGTTGAAAGATTTGTGCAACTTTCTTAAACCCTTCAGGAGTTTACTGAATTATTCAGTGGTTGTCAGCTGAACCTGGGTCTCACTGTTATGATAAAAGAAGAAATTTGGAATTTAGTAACAAATGAAAACAAGAATGGCTATCCTGCCATCAAGGAAGTGAAAAAGAAATTTTGAAGAAGTTGGACAAAATAATTACTATTGCGCATGCAGTACGGGTTACAACTTTGCTTGATCCTGCAATGAAAGATGAGGACATAGGCCTACCAGATGAAGCCAAAGTCAAGCTGTTGTGTGACAAAGTGTTCAAGAAAAAGTTCAAGTCAGAAAATACAACTGGAACCCCAAGTAGTGCAGGTTGTACAGCTGACACCATTGCAGAGCCTTCAGACACAGGAAGGGATTTTGTGGGGTTGATGGATGCTTCTGCACCAGAATCTGTACCAAGTACAAGCAAGAAATGCAAACTGCTTGATCATTTGAAGGTATCAAAAAAGATTTCTTGAAGTGAATCTCACTAACTTCTTCAGGCTGAAATCTCAAAGTACTTAGGTACTAGAGCAGCACAGACTGAAGATGGAGACAATCCACTGATATTTTGGAAGCAAAACTGCATGAGTCATATTGTCGTATTGCACAAGTGGCTCGACAGTACTTGTGTATAACACATGCAAGTGTTGCTGTTGAAAATGTTTTCCACGACTGGGATGATTCTGAATGGGAAAACAATCCTCACAGACTAAATTACATTTCATTTATACATGATAATTACAGACTTTTTTATTAACTCTTACTTTGAAAGTCTCTATTTTGTATTTTCAGTTTTGTATGTCACAAGCTACTGGAGTCTGCAGTATAGTATAAGTATAGTTTGTATATATAACCAAGCAGTGTGAACAGTTTGAATTAAAGAATACTACTGTAAATGTGTTTGCTAACTTTGCATAAAAAATGTTATATGTGTTTGTGAGTTAATAATACCTTAAAAACCTTTTTTATGTCTTTTGTTCAATGATTTCATAAGTATCATGAGGAAATTATGCAAGCAGCCACATTTTTATTGAGCATCCATATTTTTATTCAAGTTGAAATTTAAGTTATAAATAATCGACTTAGTGAAGTTAGCAGCAAAATTTCAGTCAATTTTGTCATAATTTGAAATACAACTTGCTTACAGGTCTAGTTAAGAGGTCGACCTAATCAACCGACCTTACATAGAGTTAAGGTAAAGAAAATGACAGATAATATGTAAAGTTTTTTGGAAAACAAATCATTTGTTATTTATTTATGAGGTTTTAGGTGTTATGCAAATGATATTTAAAAATTTTCAGATGAAGAAAAATATTTTTAGTCTTATGAAAACTACTTTGCACTTGTAAAGGGAAACAACATGCAGTGTAAATTGTAAATAAAGTTTTTCATTGAACATTAACATGCTCTTTTCCACTTGCAGAAGGTAAACATTTAGTGTACATTGTAAATAAAGATTTTCATTGATGCTGAAGTGTTTCCCCCCCCCCCTTTTTTTTTTTTAGTTTATCAAATTCTGCCTCACTGATACTCTTGAAATAAAGTTGAGAGTCTGGGACTCTAGATTGAGAACCCTGCTATAATGAGTAATTTACATTAAACTCAGGACATCAGAGAGGGATGATGAAAAAATAAAGGATGAGCAATACAGTGCAAACAAATTTTATGATTCTCATACAAGGAAAGATTGAGGGTTCATTTAAATAGTTTCTTTTAAAATTAAGAAATTAAAACTTATATTAAAATTTGGCTTATTTACTATGTTTTGACACCAAGTTTATTTATATGTATTGATAATAAAGTGGTTTAATTAAATTTGAAATGTAACTCTGTAGAAGGTCATGTTATGCACATGTTGACTTACACATAGGGAGAGGATTAAACTGATAATATACAAAAAACAAAACCTGGTTTGTTTAGGTAAATTGTTTAAAACATCATGAAATATGATTTGTGCTTAAATTTCTCTACTTTTCATCCTTTTTAATCCTTTTGCAACAGGTAGATCAAAGTGCATGCATCACAATATTTTACATAGTTATATTCAAAATTTAATCAAACTACTTTATTATGTATGTGTATAAATAAACTTGACATCAAAACATAGTTAATAAATCAAGTTTTAATATTATATAAGTTTTAAGTTCTTAATTTCATAAATAAATAATAAAAATATTTTCAATCTCCTATTGTATGAGAATTGTGACATTTGCTCTCTAGGTCTTTCCTCTTCTCTAATTTATTTACTAAACCTCCAAAAAGTATGGAATTTAATGTATATTACTTATTATAATATAGATATTACTCAAGCAAATCATAGTTTTTAAAGTCTTCAATCTTATTTGTTTATGGAGCCAAAAACAAGAAAATCAGACCCATTTGCCACATCCACTGGTCACATCCTTTCTTTCACAAAATGCCTATAGTTTTCTATAATGTTTTATACTTTATTATTTCTAACCAAAAGAAAGCCTAATGACATATTATTACATTGTTTTCTGTATAGGGCATTGTTTATTTCATCCTTCAGTTTGAAATTGTTTCTCAGGGGAATCTCATCGTTGAGCTTAGCTGAATTTTTCAAAAGCTTTTATTGCATAGTTAAAAAGCCAAAACAAAAATTATGATAGTTATAGGACATTGTCTGTTTTTTACATGCTATTATTCTGTATTTTTAGGTGCATTAGTTATTTGAATAAAATATTATTTAGTGCAATAGTACCATTAGTATAAAAAAAAAAAATAGTAGGCTTAAGTTTCATCAACAGCAAAAAAAAAGACCCTGGTAAGTACTATATACTTTTTTCTTTTTCATGTGTATTATTTATCTATTATTATAAAAATAATTAAAATGTAAAAATTAGAAACTTGTTAGACTAGAGTAAGATAATGAAAAAAGGTAATAATAATAAAAATTCTTCACAAGGTATACTTGCGAGCAGCTTGTATGTTATGTCATTCAATACAGCAACTTGAGCTGCACATTTAGTGAGTGATTTACAACTTTTGTGGTAGGATTATTAATTAGACATGATTCAAAGTTAATAAAACAGTAAAATTAAGTATAAATAGTTGCATACTGTTATGAGCTTTAAGCTATTTCGGATAAACACTTGTGGTTTCCTGTTACAATTTGTAGTCATTCTAGAAAGAAAAAATGGCAATTTAAATTTATTTCATGTTTTTTTCATGGTGGTTACGAGGTCAGATAAAATATAAAGTTTTCTGAAGAAGAATTTATATTTATTTAGGAGGTTTTACAGATTGTGCAAATGAAATTTGAAAATTTTCAGAGGAAGAAAATATGAAAATCACTTTGCACCAAAACAGTCAACATTCTTGATTCCATATATATTTTTGGACAATTTTTTAGTAAAAGTACTTAATTAAAAACCCGGATTTTTTTTTACGAAAGACTTGTAATGTTTACTGAAAGCTTGCTAAACTTTGTGAAGATATGTTAAGTATTTTCAGAGTTATTGTATGTATACCACCATGATTACATGGTGGTTACAAGGTCGTGTAAGATACATGAGCTTGTTGTGAAATGGTTAAACAAGTGTTTTGTATTCACAGAAAATTTACTTCAAAATACTTCTTTTATACAAACATGTAAATAAATGCTATTACTTTTGTGATTACAGAGAAAAATACTTTAAAATTATACTTATCAAACCTTTCTCTACACACTGTGTATGTATGTATGTGTAGGAATAGAACTACAATGTTTCACTTACATACATATTCCTTGATATAAATTAATCAATTTCTATTCAATTAGGTTCAACTTCAACAAGAATGCTCTTTCTTTACCCAAGCTCTCTTGGAGGAACGTTATCGGTACGAGGTATGTATTCTTCATGTGTTTTCTTGTTCCCTAACAGTGTAGAAGAAAGAGTTGTTAACTTATTACAGAAAGTGGAAATAAATTGTTTTGATCAACTTTATGAAATTAAAAATAGAAAACTTCAGTCGGAGACTGTAATACATATTGTTGGTCCTCAAGTTACTTCGTTATGTGCTTGGTTGGACGTATAATTTTGACTTGTCTGTTCTATTTTAACCTTTCTTCACTACCGTAGCTACTTAGAAGTTAAATTAAGCTTGGAGTTATTTAACTATAATTTCTCCAATATATTAACATGGATACATTTCGGAATTTTTTACATGAATATTTTAAGAACTTTTCAATAATGTTAAACTTATGCCATGAAATAACATTAAGTATGGGTACATATTGTTAGTAATCAACAAGCTTAGTGATATTTCATTGATTTCTTTGTTGGGGCATTTTGAAATTGTGATATATATAAATATATATATATGGCCAACACTTTAGTAGTTCACTGGAAAATTTACTAGTGTCCATAAAAGAATCTTTCTTTTCAAGAAATTCTTTAAATTACAAATACTCAGAAAAATGGACTTGCTAAAAATAAAGAAAACTTATTAGGATAGCAAATTAAAAAGAAAAAGAGAGGTAACAGTTTTGGGTTCTAATTTTTCCTACCTTTTAGGAAGTAGAAATATGAATAGTGTAGCTAGAAATTGTAATAATTAATATTTAATTTTTTTAATGTGCTTAAATAAAATGTTTTTGTAGCGTCTGGAAGAACAAATGAATGATCTTATTGAACTGCACCAGAATGAGATTGAGAACTTAAAACAGGGTATCAGTGACATGGAAGAAAAAGTTCAGTATCAGAGTGAGGAGCGTTTGCGTGATGTCCATGAAGTACTGGAAAGCTGTCAGACAAGAGTGAGTTTTCATTATATTTTTATTCTTGTTGTATGAGAAAGAATTCAATTGAAATTAAAAAGACTAATTTGTGTTATTCTGAATTGGTGACTGTATCAATTTCATGAGTGGGTAGCTTCACCATCATCCAGTATCTTCAAGAGTAATTTACACTACCAAATTTATATTACTATTGCAGAAGATTTATTTCTTTTAACATGTATTGTGTTGTTTAGCTTAACTCTTTCAGCATGGGCTCGGTCCCTGGGACCGACCTCGTAACCATTTTGTGCTTGTTATAGTTTTCATGCTATAACTTATAAATT